TACACTGGTAAACTGTCCCAATGTATTATTCCGAACATGGCTCAAGTCATGGCTATAAGTTATAAGTTATAAGTTATAAGTCTCGAAAGTCGAAACCACTCTCGGATTGTCGGGTGCCAGTCGAGTGGAATACCTACATGAATTACTCGTAGGTATAGTCCATCTGAATTGCATTAATTGTTACATTTAATATGACAATATGACGTCACTGATCATCGTTATAAAGCAACCATTTATTATTTATACCAATATTTAATTTACTATTGTTTACATAGTAATTATCAACTGACATTATAATAGTATAATACATTAATACTATGTTTTACCGGTCCCGCTTCAACAATTCAATAGGTACCTACACAATATTGTGATGAATGATTATAAATTTATAATACAATAATCGTGCTATCGTGAATATTCGGAACTTGTATTATTCGCATTAGTTACGTATATTATTAAATATTAAATAATCGTTTAAAAATAATATCATTGTTATGCGTTATTTATTTTAAAAACACTTTAACCCACTGGCAATATTGTCTCTTACAAATTAAAATTCAAGAACGCGGTATAAGATCGTTAAAATAATTATTACCTATTCACTAACTTCAGGGGGACGGAGTGGCCGAGCGGACTAAGACGTCGGTTGCGACGCACACCGACGTCGGTTCGATACCTCGGCCATGGGCAGCATTTGTCTTCTGGCAAGTCACTTTGTCCGGAGAACAAGTGTCACCATTTCCCACCCTAGCATGGAAGATACCTACGGGTGCCCAAATCAAAAATTCTGCCAAAAACAAACACACACGTTTTCCTCCCCCTACCAACAAAAACCTACAAACAAAACAAAAAAATAGCTAATGGCCTAAGTTGCCGGGCTCAAGCTCAAAAAAAAAAGATATTCATTAACTGTATATATGTGTATACAATAAACAAGACATATTATATCTTGTATTTGTTTGGTTTGTGTCCGTTGGAAGCCCTTTAAGTTTTGGAAAAGCGGTTCTAAAAAATCTGTTCTGGAAATACAATATAAATAAAACAGTAGTACAAAACAAGTGATAACTTCTTAAAGTTTTTAAATATTTTGGCGGAGATTACATTCGCATTTAAATTGTACCTTTCATTACAAATTACAAGTATTAAATTGGACACACAAAACCATTTCTCATGTTAAGAACTACCACGTCATAGTACCTACTGCCTACGAGTAGGAGTATAGTAGGAACAAGCTATTAGTCTAAATAAGTCTAATAGATTTATAATCTTATACTTTCTTAACTATTATTATAACCATCGCGGCTGTGCTGCCATCGACTGCCAGGTATACTATAGTGGTTACAGTTGTGAAGGGTAATATGGGTTATTTGTGTTACATAATTGATTCTCAAGACATAATTAATAGATTAGGAACTAAAAGTTCATTGATGGGTAAAATTTTATTATTTAAAATTTTAAAATAAATTAATGATTTTATAAAATGTTTTGTGTTGTATTTGTTATATTCAGCAATCAGCATAGTATGGTCATAGTAGGTACATATACCATCGATGCACACACACTATACGTTTTTTCACCGAATGTGCTATCAAAAGGCTACTCATATTGAAAGATTTGTTACAGATTTTCGCTGGTTTGAAGGCACACAAGCATGAATGCACACTAAAAAAAAACTGTACGGAGTATCATGTATGCGACAAGTCGTCGTTATTAGTGATGGTGGCAGTCTGAGGGTACTCAAATGGACTCACACGGCACACTGATCGGATTAATCCAGCATCTATGATCCAAGGACCATATTAAAACAGGATAAATCGTTTTAACATATTATTATTATTATTTTAGCACTATTAAAGTCTTAATTTAGTCATGCACATACTTAGTTGTTTCTTAATACTCAATTACTATTTTGTCATATGCATAAATGAATACTAAATTTCGTATGGTAATAACAAAGTGGTTTTCAATTTTCTATTAAAAATATTGAATGTAAACACTGTGTATTTTGGACTTCAAAAATATTGTCAAGTTAAAAATATTAGGAACCTATCACACCGGTGAATGTGCCTAATACGAACGACTCAATATTTATCGAATTATTGTTTCGAAAATGATCATTTGAGGAGTTGACATTAATTTAGTATTCTTCTGATTTTAGTATTAACATTTAACACATTGGTTGATGATTAAACTTAACAAATTTAACTTTACTACTCGTATACATTTGAAATCAGAAATCAGAATATCTTACATGTAATCTACTGTAGATTGTACAACAATAGAACCCACCTTAATTAGTACAAAAAAACTCGGAAAATATTGTCTTTTATAGTATATTATTTTCATTCAAGAAAATAAATAATTTTAAAACAAATTTAACAAATTAATAATTTGTCATCAACTTTATCGCAAAACGTACCATATATAATTTTAAATAAAATACGAATTTTCAATAAAATGTAAATGAATTAATTTTGTGAAAGCTCTTAGATTAGGTACACTTTTATGTTTTGTACATTATACTTTTAAAGAAAAAAGTAAAAACATAATATTTAATATTCATTAAAAATACATATATTATATATTTAAATAGGTTAATATATAATATTAACATATATTAATATATACATATATTTATGTGCTACAAAAATATAATAATATATACCTTTTCTGCCTACTAGTAACTAATGAAAAAACTTATTTAAAAGTACCGACTGAACAGTTTTGAAATATCTAAAAGATACAACCAGAAGAAAAAAATGTATGTTACAATTTTTTAGCTATAAAAATGTATTGAATTTACTAACGCTCAACGTGAATACTGAATAGTCAGTTTGTAAAAAGACCTATGGGTATAGAACTAATTAAATGTATCACTTTGAACCGTAAAATAGTTAATATTACTTCAAATATAATTGAAAAATATTGTTTATTATGGACAGTATATAGGTAGCCCCAATGAAACACACAATAGTCTATACTAAACAAATTAGGCAAGCAAAACGTTTCCAAATTTTAAGAACTAATCGTTTAATAAAATAAAATATGTAGTTTATGAATGGAGAATAGTTATAGTTAGGTACCTACGAGGTTACGTTATAATGCACTTTGTGTTAGAACGATGTTATGGTGCTATACTTCCATATTATGTATAATAGATATTATGTCATATATATATATATTATAATAACTATTTATGTCTTAAACAAATTGATATGCACTTGTGCGTGGCATATTATTTCATATTTGTGGTACCTTATAATTTACTTACATTAGGGTTTGCATAACCATCAGCCGGGATTATAATAATATCCTTTAACGGTCACGTTATAACAGTTCAATAGGTAGGAACACACTATTGTGATGAATGATGATAGTATAATAATCGTGCCATAGTGAATATTCGGAACTTGTATTATTCGTATTAGTAAGTAGTAACGTATATTATTAAATATTAAATAATCGATCATTATGAGTTATTCATTTTAAAAACACTTTAATCCACTGGAATTATACTGTCGCTTACAAATATAAATTCATGAACGCAGTATAAAATAATCAATATTCAATAGTAATAGATATAATATGTAATGTGTAATGTGTATTGTAAATAAACAAGACGTAAATATTATATTTGTTTGTATTGCTTCCGTTTGAAGCCCTTTGATTTTTATAAAATAGCGGCTCTAATGAATCTATTCTGGAAATATATCATGAATAAAATAGCAGTAGGTACCTACATTAAAAGTGATAACTTTTTTAGATTGCTGAAATAATGGGTATTAGGTAGGTGTATACGTCTTTACAGTACAGATAAAATTGATCTAGTTTAGTACTTACCTATGTAGTTTATCAAACCTATAAAACGTATCTGCCAATACATAATAATATAATGATAGAATTTAATCAACGAAAGATAATATTATATGTTTCACCGAGATACGGATTACTCAGCTATGTGCATCTACTGACGAGATTAATGGTCGTAATTTTGGCGATTACAAAAATGAGGGCAAATATTGTGGTTATTATCATCTGGCGGAATAACGTGTTTACATCATGTCCATTGCGAGAAATAGGAAGAGAAAACGTGAAATATTTATTCTATTCCGCATCTTCAAAAGTAGGCGATTATTAAAGTAAAGAAAGGAAAACTGCAATCATAAAATGACGTGTATGTGTGGTATGCTTTTACCGATAAGCAGAATACGCCGAGTGTCGTAAAGTAAGCCACGGCGGTATTATAGTGGGCTGCACACTCGTGTGAACTTTAAAAGTGACATTCCAGAGTTCGATGGTCGATTTAGGTAGGCCCATCATATAGGCTCAGCAGGATTCTAGAGTTTCGATGCCGTTACCTCGCCACCCATAAGTCGGGTAGCGAACGAGGATGTTGTTTATCTATCACGTCGATACAAATGAGTCTACAAGATACATGTAGTATTAGGTTTCAACCCGTGGTTTTCAAAAACTAAAAAACTCGTCGTCTCAAACTCGAAAATCCGGATTACCTTTCAAAAAAAAAAAAAAAAACCAAAAACTAGGCAGTGTGTTTGTGTGAGATAACACGCGGCGATAATTATTTCCGGCAAACACGCGTGGACCGAAAGATCTCGCTTAAACGACGACGAGGAAGAAATCGAAATGCGTCTGTCGCAAATCGGGGTCACTGCAGTATATACACACAACATATAATAATTATAATATGCACGTGTTTGCTCGCATAAAATATATAGTAGGCAGGTACCATATTCTATATACCTGTATATTAAATTCGATGTGTTTACAACACGCGTCCCGGGCGGCGGCGGTGGGATCTATTCGTCGTTTCTTTCTCGCTCGCTCTCTCGCCGCGGCGTCCTTTCTCCACGCCGATCCGACGTCACTCTCTCCCTCTGGCGCGCGCTTCGTGCCGCTCAAAGAAACCGGTGGACGCGGACCTCTCTCGGACGCCGGTTCGGTCAGTGCGATGCCAACTGTGTTAGCGTCCGCGTTACATGATGACGACCGTCGTCAACCATCATCTGCCCCCGTGGTCCGCGGTTACTGTGGTGTCGATCGTCGCGATCGTCGTCTCGCTGGCGCCGGCGTCTCTGTGTTCGGTGCAGCAGTCCAGCAGCGGCAACGGGCTATGGGACGATCTGGTGGGCAAGTGCGACGGCCCCAGGAACACGATGGACTGCGTGCGCAGCCGGCTGTACAATTACGTCGACCACACGTTCGAATCCGACTTTAACATCACCGACGGGCTGACATTCACGAAGAACAACAACGACTACGAGTCCATGTGCCCCCCCGGCAACAACGAGACCACGACCACGTCCTACCGGGAAGCCCGAGCTCCCGAAATGGTAACTATTACGACTCATTCGATTTCTGCGCGTTTTCAGCGTTTTCGCGACACTTCGGCTATACAACGATCTACGAGACGAGGCTTTTCCATTCGCCGTCGGTTGCCTTATTATATTGATTTTTTTACTTAATCGGGCGGCTCTCGATTAGGTCGCTCCGTGACCGCGGCTAACCGCAGGAACCGCAAACCGGGCCCACTCAATCTATTTTGCCAGTACCTACGTGCGCAGGCTGTAGGCGTTATACCGCGGAATCGCTCGTTTGCATTTGTCGTGGAATTTGGCTGCGACTGCACGCCGCTTGCAACGATCGCGTTAAACAGGACCTAATGTAATGATAATATGCTAACTCGGAAATTTTGCGAGAAAATTTTACCGTAATAATAATAAAATTCGACTGATTAAAACCGGTTGTTCAGTGTTCCTACCGACGACCGTCAACTGGTTTGTTGTGAAATAACTGTTTTAATCTAGTTTAACAGCAAACATCTGAAACATCCTTAATTGTATTATTATATTATATATTATATCCCCGTGGAGGCGTTATAATATATAATATCGTGATAGTTGTGCTTATCGCAGTTTTGTTTTTCAGGAAGAAGAAGCAGTGGCCGATGACGGCTGGACCGACGTCACGGATCAGCTGTACAAAAAGGGCGCCAAATACTTGGCGACCCACGACTTCGAGGCCACCGTACCGAGTTTTTTGGGAGGTGGACCCGGCGCTAGGGTTCGTCTGTCGCCCAAAAAAATCCTGCCCGATGGAGGTATAATTCTGCGGATGGACGTGTTGCCGGCTGAAAGAGACGCCCGATCGCCAAGGTTCATGCACAAGATGATAAGTAAGCAATGCATTCGATTATAATGTAGTGCTCTATAGCTATCTTATATATGAGATGATAAGTAAGCAACGCGTTCGATTATAATATAGTATTCTAGCTATCTTTTATAGGACCTTAATCAAGTCAATCTGTACCTATGTGGGCGTCATTATAGTGACTCATGCTTAAGATAATTACAGTGATTTAGTTGTCCGTAAGTGTATCGTTAGAGTTTAATAATATAACTGTTAAAAGTATTGCGTTCGATGTATTATACTATAAAACCCAGCGGGTAGGTGCCTAGGTTTCAATTGAAATACCAACCTAGATCTGAAAAAAACAGTTTAATTCATATGCATTAACTCATAGTCAGTCAACTTATGAACAATATTACCATAAGGCGTATACTATATAAATATTGTACACAGAGTGTTATATCTGCTCTATCCGCGTTGATGAATTTTAATTAAGCGACAAGCATGTCTGTTTGAAGAATACTGCCAAAACGAATATATTTTTGGACGTAGACGTTGAATTCACTCAAAACTGTTTAATTAAAGCAATTAGTCAGGAACGTATTTGAATACGTTATTAAAAAGAGAAAGCATTTAAACCGTCTATAAGGGGCCTTGAACTTGATTGGGCCGGAATCCAAGTACGGCGACTCTGATTTACCACCAGTGAGTTGTACCTAATGTGTGTCAAAACGATGTCTTATCGTAAATACACCGTGATTTGCAATAAATTATCCTCATTATGATTAAATATAACATAAAACTATAATACTAATCTTTTGTTTGTTATTTTTCATGCACAGTGCACACATTATTTACTCTCCCTACTGTTTCAACTAACTATGTATTATCAAATTTTATACATTGTATCTATAATATACGTTATAATACACTAATAACATACAAAAAGTTATTTCGAGTGTGATAAATAATATAATTTAACTACCTAATTGAGTCCAAGAATAATCATGATCCTTAAAATGTAATCATACAATTATAGTAAATCATACTAAGGCATTACATATTATAAAGAGTATTAAAAGAATGATCTACTATTTTAGTTAATCCACTTGTTTATTAATTGTTCTTGTTTTTTCGTAACTTATCAATACATTAATATAGTGTTATTTATATTTGATATGCTAAGACAAACAGTGGAGCAGATTACTGATTAGTACAGCAGAAATTTACAAGATATACAGTTAGTTTCCTAAATATAAATGCCACGCTCCGGTCCACAAATCACTAAATTCTTATGAGTAGGTATTATAGCTAGGTAATAAACAATATTGCTTTAATATATGCGGTAGTTATAATGTACAATGTACATATTATTATGCATCAAATATAATTAAACCAAAATTGAGTTAGACATATTAAATTAATCTCCCGGTTAAAATATATATACTATTTTTTTTTAAAGCTTAATGTGAACATGTTATTCGACAGATACAGGATTCCCCCGAATGGTTAAAAATACTTAAGTAGAATCCAAAATCAAGAATTCAAAAATAATAACATTTTTCTTTCACTTCTTTGGCTTCAAAGTGTTTAAAATACTAGTTTTTATAGTTATTTTATTATACATGCCTTAACATTTTGAATAGGTAACACATTTCCACTGAACATGTATATATTTTAAAAGTAGGTAGGTAATACAACATAAGACAACTAAACCATATAATATATTGACCAAAAAATTATCACACAGTTATACTGTATTAGAATGTAAAATCCAACTTAATATTATGTAGAAAACTAATAAAAAAATATGAATAAAATACTGGTTTCATTCTTAAGTACAAAAACCTGTGACATTCGTATACACTTAGAATGTATAATATATTCTAAACTCTATAAAATATTTTGAGTACCTAGTGAAAATGAATGTAAGTCCATCGTAGCCTGTAGGTACATCGTAATTTATTTAATCAGGCACATGAGCTATTGTGGCTGGACAGGCTGGTACCTATAACTACATATTACTTTCAAAATCAAAATTATAGTCTCAAAGCACCTAAATAATAATAATAATAGAAAAAAACCTGCATTAAGAAAAAAACTGATTTTTTGTATCTGGATAATATTATGAATCATGTTTAGAATTTAATAGAAAATACTTTGGGAATGGGGATAGTTATTACTTATTATAATACATTATGATACAAAAAATGTTAATATTTATAATCGTATTTGTATTAAAAAAAAATTCTTTAAGTTAAAATAAAACTAAACAGTTAACTAGAAATATTAAAATGTTTTTTTTAAAGTGACTTCTAAAATATCAGTTAAATTTAAGGTTTTTTTTAAAAATTATAACTCATGGGATTTAAATGCTTTTTTCCGTACAAACAAACAGATTGAATTATGTTCAGAACAATATCTCTAATCTCTTATCTTAAACTAAATATTAAAAATATTTTTTGAAAATAATGAATTAGACCTGGGAAGCGAGCCTTTTAATATATACCTACAACCATAGGCGCGATTTCAACTTTTGGCTTGGGGAGTTGAATATACTAAAGGCAAACAGATCATTGCAATATAGCATATTAAAATTGTATGTCCTAGGTTTTTTTTTGGGGGGGGGGCTACGGCTAAGTTTAGGTGGGTTTAGCACCCACAAGCCTCCCCAATTTGCGCCTATGCCTACAACTGTCTGCAAATCCTTTAAAATAAAGAAAGAACATAACTATCAGTAAGAAAATATGTGCAAGTACCTATACCGTACTCAAAATCAAAGTTAGACAATATAATATTAATATATTGCTCACAGTTTATCATATAAATATTCAGGAAACCGATCGATACCTCGACGAGGCGTTTTAAAACAATATTAAAATAAGTAAAAATTGATCGGAACCTTTTTATTCAATGATCGAATCAAAATGTATCGGTTAAGATAATATAGAAATTATCTATGTCAAACATTTTACTCGGTAACTAATTCAATACATTTTCAATTAGTTTCGGTTCGTCGCGCGTCGCGTGTGCGACGATTTCAAATGATTTTCACGCCAAGTACAAACACGTCGGACGTCATCCAAATTGTATGGAATTGCGTACGGCCCACCCACTTTTGTCGTGTATTTATAGAGCTGTTTACGGAACAGACGCCATCGATATTATAATAATTAGTTAATCGTCGTGTGACGGTGATAATGTCATTATATTATTATTATCATATTACTATATTATACTGCTATCGTATTCGCAATGTTAGACGACGTCGCGTGGGAAAAATCTGTCGTTTCTTTGAGCGTGTGTTCGCGAATATTACCATAATGGTATTATTATTAATTTGAAAACCGACAGTGCGTATCGTGTGTGGCTGGCAGGTATCCACTCGACAGCGGGTAAACTATAAAATATCTGCTTCCTGCTGCACTCTCACTGGCGACTGTTTTGGAATAATACGACCTAATGTATTTCATTAGCCTAGATTTTCGTGATGGTAATAATAATAATAATTGGTATATCCCGTAGGTACATGCAGGTTTCGTTAAGCCGGGTGAAAAATTAAAATTAAAACAACAGCCTGACAACGCACGCCATTTTTCGTTGTGCTAATGAATGGCACGGAGGAATAATATTAATAATACCAACTAATAATGTAACAATAAGACGATCCACGACGTCCGCGAAAGGACTCGTAGTCATATATAAGTAGTGTCGTGTTGTACCTATATAAACTGTAACACTGATAAATTGTACACTACTTACGACTAATTGGTATGTTATGATAACAGGCACTAACCGTGGCTCGGGACGTGACGCATTTGCATATGTTTTGTTTGCAGATTAAATGTAAGAGAAATCTGATTAGATACAAATGTGTTTCGTGATGTCGGCAATTAAAATTAAGAAAAAACAATTACCTATTCCTACATATTGTATATTTTTGCACGCGTTGGTATTTATGTGTTTGAAATTATATCGTAAAGATTTGTTGGGGGTTTTATTGCATACTTTATATTTCTTATAGTATTATTAAATACATTTATTAATAAGAAAATAAAAATGTTTGAATAAATAAACCAACTACACCCAGAAAAATGATGGCCTAGTGAGATTTTTATTTTTAATACAACATTGTAAATAGGTAAAATAAATACTCAACATGTTTGAAAAATAAATAAATATTAAATATTCATGTAAAATTAATATGCTCAATGAAAATATTATATTTTATTGAAATTGAAATTTCTCCACTCTTATCAATTTCACTATAAATTATTTTTTAATAATTTAACTGTTTAATTTTTCGCATAATATAGTATCGATTGCAGCACATAATAATATTTAATTGCGTGTTTCAAGTTTTTCTAACTGCACATTTTAAAGGTGCGTTTCGCGCATTAATAGTAATAGCGCCCCGAATCCTGCGGATAACAACAGACGATGATAAGTCCGTAACGGCAAGTCGACAACAGGTAATAACAATATCATATTATGTTTTCCGCAGAGCAACTGTTCAAAAAGAAACTCATGTCCAGCGGGATGGCTCTGATGTTGATCATCAAACTGATCAAGATCAAGGTGTTGTTCCTGTTGCCACTGTTGATCGGAGCGGGCGCCGCCAAGAAGATCCTGCTCAAGGTCCTGCTGTTCGTATTCCCGCCGTTGGCCCACTTGTTCAAGCTCTGTTCGTACTACCACCACCACGCCTCAAAGTTCTATCACTTCCACCACCACAAGGTATGCGACAATGCGGATAATCGGCAGATATGAACCGAAATGTTGATCGAAAAATCGTTTGAATTTTACCTATATAAACTATAATTGTTTCTTTGATCTGCCGACAATCGTTCGCAATCGTGTAACATGTCGGCCGACATATCAGTGTTGCGACATACGATTGTACGCACGAATTTATAACGGTTTTCCATTAAGGTCGTTGTCTGTGGCGCATCATTTTCAAGGAATAATACTCTCTCGCTGTTCATATTGACCTGTGTGAAGTTACACACTCATCTGCTAATCAGCCATATTTTAATAGGTACAAACGGTACGCCAACAGACGTATATTATGTGCAGTACCGCGCGATTAATCGATCCTAATGTACAACTACTCGTTCGAAATCAAATTATCGTACTAGCCCCCCATACGTTGTTATTCAGCAATTTTTTTTCCGTATGACGATGGGATAATAACACTGGCGAAACTCAAACCATTATACATGTATAGCGACAACGACGACTCGGGGGGTCACGAAACATTTATAATGAAATAAGTAATAACCTATGTGTGTGTGCGTTTATCACAATCATAGCGCCGAGTCTTCGTTACGCTCTGCCGTCGCCTCGTTTATAATAACGCACACATTATACACACGTCGCTTTCGGACAATTGACAGCCCTCATTAATACTATTGCAACCGTCATTGTTTAGACTGTCTAGAGTTGTATGTGTCATCGTATTATTATTTTGGCGAAAGCGGTGCGCCGTAGGTATGCTAGATCAATTCGGCGTGTAAAATTCGTGCATACGCTTTTTAATAATTCATAAAACAATTATCTATATACAATCGTGTGATTGGTTCATGACATCGATTGTTTCGTCTATATACAGGTGAAGCACCACCATCACCATCTCAAGGTCCCTGTACCGGTACCTGTGCCAATCAAACCACCGCCGAGCTACCACGGCGATTACTACCCCGCAGGACCCACGTTGGACCATCCACCGCCGGGACCATACGATTCGCCCGAGGTACCTACGACGTCATAACATAATATTTGTTCGGTTGCTTTTGCAAAAACTGACCCAATGATCATCGTTTAACAATATTACAATGAGTATGTTATTGATTTCGACGATCGTTTTAGACTTTGGGAGGCAGTGACTATTACAACCGCAACAGTTTGGAAATGAACAACGTCGTGTCGGACCACGCGGACGAGCTGGCCAGTTGGGGTTTGGGCGATTACGCGGAAGGCGCGTCGCAGTTCGACGCCCCCAAGTACGAGTACTCGGCATCGCCCTCGCAGTACGAACCGCTCAAGTACGGCGGCGGCGGCGACAGCGGTGGCGGCGGAGGTCCTCCACCATCGCCGTACGCTGAGAAGTACGTCAAGAGGGGGGACAACGGAAATCCCGTAAGTATTACGAATATTAATATTTCCCACTCGTGTCCCATGACCCGTGGTCAACCCGGTGATTAGAAGTCGATCAGTAGATCGATTTAATTTCACTGTCAAAGTCCAAACCGACGCGTTCGAAACTCAGATATTGTGACGTACCTATTTACTGCAATATTTCTAAATGCTGGACAGCATGAGTCAGAAGATATAGCCGATATGAAGTCAACCCTCGTCCAATACATGGGCGAAGCTAGACGTTTTTATTAGCTCGGTTTGACCTACAAAACGTATTTTACTAGACAAACATTTAGACAGATAAAGTAGATGTGGACACGGTAATAAAATAATACTAGTTTTACGTTTTGTTGAAAATTAATTTTACCAAATCGAAAAATGCAAGCGTTTAATCATTTCATTACCAACAATGATTTCGAGTGGACGAGATTTGAGGTTCCGAAAGTGTACTGCACCGCAGTTTAGTGTAATGACGTAAACAGTCCGTCAAATTAATATAAATATTTGAATATAATAATCTGTGTGACGCTGCTCGCGAGTACGCGATGAAGTTTAGCGCTGAAGGTTTTTGAACTCTCCGCCGCGGTAATAAATAACGAGCTAAACTTGTTCCGGGTGCACATTAACACATTACATATTGTGTCTCTTTATGGGCGACCAGAACGAGTTTCGTCAACATCGATAGTTCAGCTTATAGCCGTATATAGGTAGTGTTAAAGCGATTAGGTACTTATAGTACTTACCTTCTTTTTTCGTTTGGACGACGATAAGGGAACTGTTTGTATAATATTATATACAGTACTTCTTTATCGCTACCGTCGTTTATTAAACTTTTTTTTTTTTAACGTAGATACAATTGCACATAATACTTTAATAGTCTTAAACTTTGCCTTGGTGTTCAGTATACTTGCATAACATATGTTACACTGCAGACATATAATCTCGGACCCATCCCTTTCGTTGAGGGGGGGGAGGCTTGTGAAAAAGGTTTGATTGTTTTTTCTCCACATCTATCGAGGCCGTGAACAGTATAATATAATAATATTATACTTGTGTATTGATAATACCGTATGTTGTGTTCCGCTAACTAAACGCGACCACCGACGCAAATGATTTCAGGCCTTGGGCAGACCGCCACCCGCGCTGCAACAGGTGGCGACGCACGATCCGGTGTACACTCCAGTCGTACAGAAATTGGACGAGATATTCCATGAATTGGCCGTGCACGAGGAACCATGCAAAGAGAAATTGGTGTGCAAGATGTACGGCGACCCAGGCAGATTCAGTCCGCACAGCAACCTGGTGTCCGCGCAGTTGAGCAGGTAACGAATTGACGATTTCTGATTATTAAACATTTTTATGTATTGTGCGCATATTTAACATCGAGTTAAACTAATGATTTTTAAGATTTTTTTTATATATTTTTTACATCGAGACTTATGTACGATATTGTCGGTTTAGAATTTACATGTTTACGGCTCAGAACGGAAGGGGTGGGAGGGAGGTGGGCGAGAGGGGCCGGACAAACCCGTTCACCTACTTCCGGGACATTTTTTTTCTTTCCCAGTGATGAAAAATATAAATAAATAACGACATGTAAAAAAAAAAACGACCCGCACCGCGCGGCCCACTTGTATATAACCTGTTCACTACCCGACTACGGCTGGGATGACCTACTTGGCGCGCCGCCGCCGGCCGATGGGATTACTATATTATGATAATCCATTATAGGTCACGGCCTTGAACTTGTAGCCGGGCTAGCACACCGGTCGGATATAAAATTTATAGAAATCGTATCGGCGCGGCGGTGAAACGGAAAACGACACAATAAATCGATGCCGCTGTCGTATGTACGACAATAATTTAGGATTTTAATTATTATATAATATTATATACTATATAGTATATTGAATTGGAATTACGTCCCTGGTGCAGTGCGTATTATAATATTATTTATACACGCGAGTCTTGTGACAAATATTTACACATGTTGCTGTGTTGTGTGTGAGTCAAACTGTCGTCACATTATTGTATTATACTATGAGCCTTTTACGTGATACTACAGTATAATAAAATCATATAATATATAGGTACCTACACCCGAAACCATAACGACGCGTCGATTTATCAGACCGAAACCACATTCGACCGGAGCGTATACCGCGAAAGTGTACGCGGGAAGCACGTATGCTTTAATTTTGTGAAATTTGATTAATTCAATTGCGAGGAAAAAAAATTTAAAAATAAAAAAAGATACTCATCGCTGTGTATAATATAATATTTGTATGGTGCACGCGTGTTCTACATAATAATGTTATACATGTCTCATCGATTAGACAACGCATTAACAGCGTGGGTATAATATTTTGGTGGGAAGAGCCCGAATCATTTAAATTTTGGCATCTAAAAATCAGTTATGGGCTTATGTTGTTTTCTATATCGCACTAGACATAATTATTATAATATGATCGCAACATTGAAATAAATCAACAAATAAAAATAAAACATTTTGAAGAGTTTACGTAAAACCGAATTGTTATGTGTTACGTCATATACATTTAAGTAAATATATTTGGAATTACATTCCAACCGTACGTTATTTTACTATCATGTACTATCATTTTTAATTATCTTCAATTCATTTTTATTATGACTTATTCACCATATTATTATCTTCTTTAAAGTAAATTATAACTAAACTGTCACTGTGAGCATAATAAAAATTACCAACATAAAGTAAGGATTAAACATAATTTTGAACATCAATAACAAACCCGTATAAAATAATACATTTTATCAATCATAATATTTTCGTTATTATAGCGAGCATTTTCAGTGCAGGATGACTTTTTATTATAATTCAATCATAATATGAATCACAACGAATATTAAGTTCCTTCCAAATAAACATTCACGATTGAAAACTACCTAGTAAATCCATTTGGCATCGCAAAACCAGAATTCCTTCTGACTAGTTCAGAGTAATTATATGATTTGCGATTCTCTTTGTGTGTAATAAATTAAACGAAATGCATGTCAACATAATATAATCGATTTTTTTAATATACAGAGTGTTTCAAAAGTCTTCTTCCGACTACGAACTGATATAGTTCGGAAACGGTTGATCACAAGTTACCATGTATTAATGCTTTACTGATTAATAAAACTTACGTATCTTAAGAATATATTTTACTAGATTTCACTCTTATACCTTGACTTTTAAAATAAATATAAACTGTTGAAATCGGATGAAGACTTTTGATACTGATATATATAGATGGGATACATAATTTGATTAGGTAGTTGTATACTACCTTTTTAATTTATATCGAAGCCATTTTAAGTACAAAAAACAAAAACCCAACAGAACAACTGAAGACTCCGGTGCAATAGATACTTCCACATTTTTTCAAAAATCATGTTTTGATATAGAAATATTCAGAAAAAAAATCTCTAACGATCGGTACAAATACCGAATACGTCTGGACATAACTGGTTATTGCTACCAACACTTCTATTCAAATTTTTGTATTCTTCGGTTGCTATTACCAGGTATAAAGACTTCGTTTTTTATATAGTATAAAAATAAAAATATATTATAATGACATTTTTACTAGTATTACTAGTAATAATGGATTCATATGATAAAATATCATGATAATGCTTACTCTTATTTTGACATTTTGTAGGTACCTACTAGGTAAATTAAGGGAGGGTATGTTTAATAAACTAATATATGATTATTATTTAATAATACATAATAATAATATTTTATAATAGAGGACTTATTGACCAGAATAAAATATTTTGTTGGCTGTAATAATCAGTTACGTCCAAAAACAATATTGGACGTATCTGCAGGTTATTGCAACCATTATAAATAAAATCCTAGTTTTTTAGTTTTTATAAATATTATCTTGAATATAAAATGTAAACCATAGGAAATGGGGTTGAGTGATGTATCGTATTCATAAAAAAAAAAAATAACACCACGTTTTTAATTTTTGGTTAATTTACCAATTTTATTGATTGTTTTTTATGTTTCCTGAATTATTTTTAAAAAATGGACGTATCTGGTTATCACACCGGGGTCTTCTCGTGGACGAGTATTACTCGTTTATTTAGTTATACCTTTGTATATGATGAAAAAATAAAATTGGTTTTTGTAACGACGTCATTGATCAGGTCAACAACCGAAATCATCAGGTGTGTGATATTAAAACGTATCGTTTTGCCTGTATAGATTTCGGCTTTATTCGTTTCGTACGAAATCAGCTCATTTAATAATAACAACAGACTGTTCATTTTAATAGTAGAAGACCGGTGATTTTTGCATGTCACATAATATGTCAGTCCACCATTTCTCTCGACGTTCATAACTCAAATAGCTCAATAACAAAGTCGCATATTAACTCTAAATTAAAACCTATAAGGACTTGTCATTATCTCACGAGACAATAATACATGTATAAGTGATTATGAATTAATTCAACTCGAATTACGCATGGGAATAATATAATTACCTTGACTAGTAGTATGTCGTTATTGTCTTTTGAGACAATTGCACGAAGACGACTCTTGTTCACCGCAGACGGCAAACAATATTTACGTTGTCATAAAATTATACAAATAACCACGAACATATTATAATAACATAGTATATAATAATAATACTCGGGCATTGTTGAGATAAACAAAATACGGATGTAATTTATTGTCTTGTATAAATCGTATTGGATTCGTCCGAGGCACAAATAACGGACAATGAAAAATCCATGGCCAACGTGTATACAATAATAATAATAATAATATTGAAATCTCCTTGCCATAGGTCACTTTCTTTGACATAATAATGCGCTATAGATACCTGATACCTCTACCACGATACCACTGCGATGCGGCACGTAGTGATTATTATGATCGGGCAATTGGGCAAACAGAGTATATAAAAAAAAAACTAAAAAACAATGTCCTTGGGTACTTTCATTTCATCTCTTCAATAATATTCCGCCCACAGACTGCAGGTTTCTTCTTCATCACAACGTCATACGCCCGGGACTAATAAAATTTCATTATATTTTCACGATTCATAATGGATCGCTTCTACTCGAGTCATTGTAAAAAATGTGTTATTATTTCCATCATTATCATTATCGTTGTTGTTATTATTATTATTATTATATTCGACGTACGTGATTCCATTGTTAGCACACTGACACAAATTCGTTGCCGATTCGTTGACACATACGTACTAGGAATATGTCTGCACAACCAGCTTGTCATCCCGCAAGACTGGATGCATTATTATTGCCCTCTCGGCACACGCTCAGGAATGGACATCGCAGGCATAACCATCTCTAAACCTAATTTCTCTGACTGTTTTAGACCCGAATGGATGGTACTTCCTAGTCGACCAAACACGATGATAATTAACTATTGCGTAATAATTGCAAACTGGTTTTTACCATAAAACTAACCACTTCAGTCTTCAAACACGCGTTAAAACCATATTATTAGCCTATATTACCTATTTAATATCAGGTACGTATTGAACGGGGTCTAGTGCGAATATTTTTTACCGAATGCAGACTACCTACTCTAGATTGTCCGTGTTGATTTCGATTCAGGTAAATAGTTGTGTGAGGATATTCTCCAATAGAGTGGTCAATTATAGTACCTATATATATAGTGCCTATGTAGATATACTACTCGATTAAATTTACCATTCAATTACTATAATGATGAAAATTGCAATAAGATTACCTATGCTTTACGATGTAGGGTACGATTAGGTACATCATATTATTACTACTCAGTGAGTTGGGGGAGGGGGAATAGTTTCCGGTATTAAAAGTCTGTAGCTGGGCCCAGATTTTTCAAATTTAGTATAACATGTTTAATTTCTGAAAATCGTATGGCACGAAGTTATTCCCATCAAACATCAAAAACACACAATACAATTACGAATGAAAATAAACGGTATGATATAAAACATAATTTTTATTTATCCGGATAAAGTGTCACGATGGTGGCTGCTGTGCATACTAAAAAAATATGTGAAGCTTATTTTTACAGTTTTACTTTACTAATATGTTATACATATATTATTCTTGAATCCCAATAGAAGTATTGTTCCTACAATTAGATATAGATTATGTATTTTTTGCTAAATCGAAAATTAATTTATTGTAAAATATTAATACTTTTGGAACCGATTTTAGCCTATTAATTGTATTATAGGTTTAGGTTTGTATAGGTAATTTGTCGACATAATATATTATACTCAATTTGTTGACTTACAAATTGAATTAAAGCGTGCATTGCCTCCGCCAAATTATTAGGACAGAGATAAAAATCGACCTTTTTATTACGCATGATATTTCACTTAACGGAAATAATATAAAAAAATAATTTAAATACTAATATTTATGAAACAATTTTTTTTCATCACGAACTTATGCGATACATTTAACATTAATTATGTATGACATTTTTTTTTTACATCGATTGGTTATGTCTTATGTGATATTCCACATAAAAATTGAATACGAAACGTTTTGTTGGTGAATTGATAGGAAAATAAGAAGTTCAGGTGCACTCTATCTAATAATGCATAGAACTCGTTTATCACTATATAAAATAAAACCAAATATTAAAAAACACTGCAAGGAAAGATTTCAGCACTCTTCGCACGCCACGCCCACCTGTTGATATAATATATAAGCATGATATATAATAAAAATATAAAATATCATTTCAATATGCAAACCATAACTGTAAATGATTTTTTTTTATCAGTGGTAAAAATGAAACGATCCCATAGCAGGTCTGTCTGCGTACGATCAAAAGAAGTGCACAAAATGTCGAGTTAATATTATTAACTATATAATAATAATAATGGCACAATGAAAATGACTCGTAATCTACACACACAACAGTCCTCAGCGCGTGTTCGAAACCGTTGCCGTGCGGTTTGCAGTGTTTTCCCGTACAATATAGGTTCATTTAGAGTAATAATATTATAACATTATATTTTATTAAAACGAACACACGCACACTAATGGTGTGGTATGCCATTTCGACGGCACAATTTTTTATTTTATCGCAAAGGGTTTATTTATTTTTCTAAACAATTTATTTCGTGTTCTTGCGACGACTGCACTTATATTACGCCTCTATCTTGATTACCCGTGTAACCTGCAATTTATTCTACGATACAATAGCACGTATACAATGCGCTTACAAGGTTGTTGAAATTCGTCTCCTCTGCTGCGGTCACTATTTCGCCGCCGCGCCGAAGTCTGTTTTTGATTTCTAATATAATATAATAGTAATAATGTTCTCTTTGATGTCGTACCTATATAGCTATAGAGTACGGCGTACCGTGTAAGTACCGACGGATTACACGTCAGATATAATATAGGTAATATAATAAATACAATAAATTACAAGTGTCGAACAACAATGCGTTTAACGCCGACTGTTCCATGGTATCCTTGCGCAGTGGTATAATATAATATAACCTAATGACTTTGATACAAAGCCTTCTAATACATCTATTCTCCGGAGGGTGCGTCGGGCGATCAGCGATCACTGTGTTATAATAGGTCGACATGTCCTATGATGTACCTACCTACGTATACCATATGGTTGTGCTCGCCTATATAGGTCCCAGGGGAACTCTGACCCGACGATGTATTTACCGTTATGGATTTCAACAGTACCTGCACTAATCTCATTAATAACTCTGTTTTTCTCATTTCTTTACAGCGAGACGGCTGCGAGTTCCGGCGGAAGAACGGGCGTCAGCCTGGACGCCACGAGACTGTGGCGTTACGTGCAAGCGGCCAAGGAAGGCCAAAACGGCGAAGACTGTCGTATCCTCTACCAGGCGTGCACCATGATCGGACTATGATGATGACGACTGACGACGAGTAACTCACCGAATAAAAAATAACGATTTTTGACATTAATCAAAAAAACAAAAACAGATATTTGGAAAAAAAATGAAAATTTTCTACTCGGTCCGCCGCCGCGCGGTACACGAGTACCTACAACAGTTCACACGGTTTTAGTAATTAAGGCGTTACAATATTATTATTCATCCTTGACGATATTGAATCACTTAATTAGTTATTTTTTTTTTTAAATACCTTCAACGCTTACGAGACACGCGCAACATATATACGTTTAGGTATAGAATAAAGTAATAATATAATACTAATATATTATACACACACATCTAGTCACCTCAATCCGTAGATATAGGGCAGCGGTCATAGACATACCTAACCAGGCTACAATAATGTTTTAAAGTCGATCGATAATCGGTCATTATAATATTTTATACAACCGTTGTAATTTCAATAACAATTAATAAGTATAGCCGTATAGGTACGTCTCATATTGTTACGATATAAGTATATAGGTACCTACACAACAATTTACCACGACATTATGATATTATAATGTAAAAATATTGTATATTGTATCGAGGCGCAATGCGCAAATTCTTGCTTATAATCCTCTTTGACAATGATATTTCTATGTTATAGTAGGGTATAAAAAAACTTTCGATTCGTCTACTGTTAATTATCGCACATGTTATTTTAATAGTTTTTAAATGAAATTATATTGCTGTATAATTCTTGGTAAATCTCTGCACGCTGCTCTTAATGCGCAATAATGTCTCCTCTCACAAGAGTCAATTATTATTATATATAGTACACTAACCGATTTCAAACATATTATATTTTATTATACGCCTTACAATACCGTGTTCTCACTCTCATTATAATAGTATTGTATTGTTTAATGTTTAGTAATTTATTTATATATTTTTTTTTTCCAGTAGGGCGAACTGTAAGATTTTTAGTACAGTGTATCGCTCTACGGTTTTAGTAAAACACATTGTTTATTATTTTATTTATTTATTTATCAACCTATATAATAATAATAATAATCATATTATATTATATTATATACAATTTTATTTGACGTGCCCATAAATTTTGAATATTGTATAAGTAATTTATTGATTGAAGTAATGTGATAGTTTAGAGATTACATGTCTTAGTACACCTATTAAAATGTACATAATATTATATAATAGGTAGTGAATTAGGTGTACTTTACAATATTAGTACCTATAGTAATTTATTATAATATTATTATAATTAATATATAATATGATTATACCTATCACTGATATCAATATTCAAGAACTGTACCTATGTATTTTTTTTCCTGTTTAAAACCAAATATTATAACTTTATGAATAAGTAATATTTAATTTATTTTAATGTTATAATGGATATTTATTATTATATCATCGATCAAACAGTTTTCACAGTCACTTTAGACGTTAAAAAATAAGTAACAATAGTGCAACTTACAACAACTGTGGTAGCTTAAAAACATGATGACGTGTTTTTAATATATTTATACAAAAAACGTATTAGATGGTGGATTTAATACTATATTAGTGTTACCTGTGTTACAGAAACATCGAAACAGATAGAAAACAATATTTTATGATATATTTTTTTAACTAAGTTTTACAGATATGTTTTTATCCAAACTTCTTGATAAATAATATTATGTTTTTGACGAAACAAAATGATAAATTTTTTGTGTTTTATATGTCCATTTGTTTTAATATTATATTTTCACAAATACTTGAAATACTCTTGCATACTTAAATACAATATTATGTATTTTTCATAGTACATCAATACGGTTATATACAAGTTAGATAAACCAATTGTTTGTTCGATCCATAGAGTAATATGTAATCCACAGAGGGGCCGTTCCTCTACACTGCATATTACTCTATAGTTCAATCAAAAGAAAACACCTAGTCTACCGTCGGAAATTGGACTGTAGAATATTATTATGTGTATCAAGATTGTATTTATTCTTAATAAAACCCTCACCAATAAATTATGTGAAGTCGTTATGAAAGAATGTATACCTACTACTTTTCGTTCAATAAGCAATTAATCTATATGATCGTATGAGATGAAATACATTATGCCTAACCTTTTACTAGCTTAATAGTGAACAGTTTAAATTCTCTTAGTTGAATAAAATATGATGAAATTCAGTGCTGGCCGCTGGGTAAGTTACTTTTAAAAAGTAATTAAGTTACTTTACTAGTTACTTAGAGATAAATGTAATAAGGTTACTTTACTTGTTACTCAAATAAAATTGTAATGAAATTACTTTACTTTTCAAATAGAATAGTAACTCATTACTTTATCGTTCCAAAAAAAAAAATATTTTTTCTAATTTCTTGGCAATTATCATTCTGCAGGCAATAATGTAACTTTTAATAGAAATACATTACCTATGGTAAAAACTAAAAAGGTATAATGTGAAAGAGGTGTAAAAAAATAAATGTACAGTTAATACATATTTACATAACAATAGTAATTACATATGAGTTATAACTATAAAAAAATTAATTGTACCTACTTAACAATGGTAATGAATCATTATAATATGTATAGTTAAGTATATTATGTATTTATGTCACAAACTCACAACATAAACCTTAGGTATGTGGAAATAAAATCATAATGCATATAGAACGAATCACGGAAAAAAAAACCACGGAAATTAAAACCAAGGAAAAAAAACCAAAAAAAAAAAAACAAAAAAATTAAAAAACAAAAGACCACGGAAAAAAAAATCAAACGAAAAAAAACCATGAAAATAAAAACCAAATTTTTATATTTTGCCATACATTATTATGTCATATTTCATTAGACATAAGTTTTAATTTTCTAATTAAAAATGTAGATCATAAATTCAACTGCCTAAGTGTTCTATCTGTTAAATACTTTCGTAACCAAATTTGTAAATTTTGAATAATTAAAAATAATATATATATTTTTAAATTGTAATATTTAAAAATATATAAAACAGCTTAACTTTGTTATAGTATGTTTTGGTAGTAGTATTTCCGTGTTGGGAAATTTGATGAAGAACGTACGAACAATTCAACCGAAGGATGGAATCATAGGTTTAGTAAATTAGTAGGACAAACACATCCAACAATTTGGACTATTATAGAAAAAATAAGGTTAGAAGTGGCAGCTGATGAAACAAAGCTAGCCCAAATTCAACTTGGAGTACCACAACACAAAAGACAAAAAACGGTGTACAAAAAAATACAAATCCAGTTAAAAAAATTATGCGAAGATTATGATAATGGTACACGCGATATTGAAAACTTTTTAACTGCCATCTCATTTACGATAAGATATCGATAACATACATTTTTATAAACATTTTTTTAAATTATTATTTTTACTTGATACTATACAAATGTTATACAATTGTTTTGAATTATGTTTTTATACTTTATTCCTGGTAAGTTGGATTATTGATCTAAATTTTTAATTAGAAAACTATAACCTATGTCCAATGAAATATGACATAATATAGCAAAATTTAAAAATTTGGTTTTTATTTTTATGGTTTTTTTTCTTTTGGTTTTTTTTCCGTGTTTTTTTTTTTTTTGGTTTTTTATTTTTTGGTTTTTTTTTCCTTGGTTTTTTTTCCGTTTACCATATAGAACACAATAAGAACTTATAAAATTATAAAAATAAACAGTTTATAAATCACAAAATATGGCTATAAATTAAGGTGCGTGACGCTGGCACCCGCAAGTTTGAAATTCAACTCAAAAATCACATCAGTAATTGTTATACAATTTGTGACGCTGGCACCCGGATTTCGATGTATTTGGCCTATCGACCCAAAAACCACATCAGTAATTGTTATACAATTTGTACAAATTTGTAACCCCAATTCCAAAATTTGTACACCCCCCGGTCGCCCGTAAAATCCAAAAACAATTTCCGGGTGCCAGCATCACGTGACGCTGGCACCCGGATTTCGATGTATTTGGCCTATCGACCCAAAAACCACATCAGTAATTGTTATACAATTTGTACAAATTTGTAACCCCAATTCCAAAATTTGTACACCCCCCCCCCCCGTCGCCCTTAAAATCCAAAAACGATTTCCGGGTGCCAGCGTTACACCCCACTTTTTGTACAATCGACTTTTTGACTCCAAAATGGTACCAACGATTGTTATTTCATTTGTACACATTTGTAATCCTAACTTAAAAATTTGTACACCTCCCTGAATGTCAAAAAATTAATTTCAATGGTGCTTACTTCAAGCTGCCCCACGGATTTTTTCTATCGAATCCAGAACTCTTCTAAAATTTAGTAACAATTTAGACATTTAGTAACTAATTGTATCTGACATCAAACAATTTGTAACCAAACAGTTTCCGAGAAAACTCAATTTCCATTTCGGGGGCCTAACATTTTATTAGGTTACAATATCTGATACCTACAAGACTTTTTGACAATCTTCCAATTATATTTGACTTCAAACATGTTTATGAAGATTATTTTTTTTGTGTGTCTGTGTACACGATAAGTAGTCGAAATAATGCTTAGATTTTCAACTTCTGTATCTTGTTCGATGGGAAAGTGAATATTGTTGGTGCATTGGGCAGGTCAAAATTCCCAATAGCTTTCAAAAGCGAGGGGAAAAACAGCATACAAATTAAGGAAAAATGGGAATTTTTACGGAAAAACGGTTTTCCACAAAATTGATATTGGTTTTTGGTCTAACTCTAAAACAAATGAAATTTTCACTGGTCGTTTATATTTGCATTTTCTATACACGATAAAATGTTGAAAATATTTTGACTGTTTTTGGGCTGTTTACTTTTTTTTTCTATAAATATCAATAAAATTGTATTTGTTGGGTAAAAAAGCGTGAACATTTAATGCAACGCTCCTGATATATTGTTACAATAGCAGTTTAAAAACACATGTGCACAATTTTTTTTTATAAGCATTTAAAGTTCAAATTTTGACAAAATTT